GAACTCCAAAACAGATGTCACCGGCACCAAGATCCCATGTTACTGCAAATCCATTTTATTGATAGTTGTCATTCAAACGACAAGCGCTTTCTGGGCTGGGCAGGGTCCCCTTCATCAGGCTCAGAAATAGCATTACATAAAAGTGCCAAAACTTTTATATGGACATAATAGAATGTAATTTCTGAGCCTGATGAAGGGGACCCTGCCCAGCCAAGAAAGCGCTTGTCTTATGAATGACAACTATCAATAAAATGGATTTGCAGTAACATGGTGTGCTGGTGACATCTGTATTGGTATTGGAGTTCTGTCATTGAGTCATTAGGAGCACCCGTTACTTTTGGTATATCTGGTAAGAAGTGCGGCAAGGTATATGGGTACTGCTTTGTACACTTAGAGTCATTGCGTTGCAGAGACCATTGCGTTGCAGAGTCCCGGGTCCATTGCATTGCAGAGTCCCGAGTCCATTGCATTGCAGAGTCCCTAGTCCCTTGCCTTGCAGAGTCCCGAGTCCATTGCATTGCAGAGTCCCGAGTCCATTACGTTGCAGAGTCCCAAGTCCATTGTGTTATTGCATTAAAATATATATATTTTTCGTTACTATTTGGGGGAAGGTGATGCAGGTGGATACAAGGGTCTGGGTCGAGAAGTTGGGGGGGTAGGTGATGGAGGCGGGCGGGTTGTGGGGGCCCATCAGAAAAATCTTGCCCAGGGCCCAATTACTATTAAAGACGGCCCTGCCCGCAAACCTTCCTTCTTGTATGGAAGTTGTATGGAAGTTGGAACAAGTAAATTTTTTAAGTGTAACTCCAGCCAAAATGTTTTTGTTTGTTTGTTTTGGATAGCATAGGTAAGGGTTTACCTCCTGTAAAGTTTGCTTTGCTGTCTGTGCCCCTGTTTAGAAGCTTTCACCTCAATTTCTGTCCCTGTGACAATTGGATTTAGGTCTTACTTTCGGGGTAGGTGTTATTGTCGGGGAAACACTGTGTATATATAGATATATATATACACACACACACACACACACACACACACACACACACACACACACACACACGCAAATAGATGAAAGATTCTAACATGTATAAATGCAGGATGATTGTACAGTGCCAGCTCTTATTTTCTCTTGACATTCTTATTCAGTATAACGTAGCTAACATAAATCTGTAGATCTTTGTATGTGCGTTAGCTCTTCAGTGTCTCTGCCAATAGTATTTTCAGGAAGTGAATAGGCAGTGTCACAGGCTACCCTTTAAATGCATTAATCTTTTCAGACAAAGAAATTCCATTACGCTTTGTTTAAAGTGTCTTCCATGTACAACTTGACCTCTTATTATAAGAGCGCTTTCAAAATAAAACTAGGTAGAATCCAATTAGCCCATTACTCAGCAATATGCCACCAATAACATTTAAACATTTGACATTTTAAATTTGAAAAATTTAAAAATAGGGTAGAAAGAAGAGGAGACATTAAAGAACAACTTCAGGAAAAAATTTATTCAGTCTTGCAGTGGGGCTGGATTAACAACTCGCTTTCGTCTAGGTGCTAAAATAACAAAGTTATAGGCACCCAATTCTTGGCGACAGCCAGCTGTGATAGCGCTCCTCCTACGCTCCAGTATGTCCCCGGCGTCCTCACGCCCTATGCACTGTGTACAGAAAATGATGACCCACGGACCTTAGATCGCTGGATCAGAGAGGGAGAGATACTGGAAGGACTGGTTTAAAAGCACACTGACTCAGAGGATCGTGTGAGTATAACTTTTTTGATTTTTGTCCCTAGAATAAAAGAAGCAGTTAACCCTTGCAGTGTGTGGGTAGCCCCACTGCACGGGTTAATATCTTTTTCCCCAAAGTTGTTCTTTAACTAGATAAGGTTATAAAAACAGTAGATATATCAGTTCCTTAGCGCTATTCAATAGAGCCACATCTACTATATTTTGTAAGTGTATAACAGAGTGGCATTCCAGTCATGAAGCTGGTAGCCCCTATGGCAAGTTGGTACTAGGCATCAATTCTCTTCAGCACTGTGTCAGGAAGAGCCCTGAAGAAAGGGTAACTC